ATTTTATATGACTATATCACTGGTTAACGAGTATTTAAAAGTCATATGACACCTTTTGAGGATGTTTTGTGTAGTTTAATTTGAGGTGATGCATATGTTGAATAGTAATATATACATTAAACCTATAATTCTTGTAAGTAATCTTAATGAAATATAATAATGTGCATTTGTTTAAGGTTACTATTTGATACTCAAGTGTTAGCACATAGTAGTATTTACCCTTACCTATTTATGATGATATTAGTCCCTCTAATTCATAGGTTAGAGAGTTCAATCATTACCCTTACATGTTTGATATTGTATAAAAATAATGTTTTTTTCCTAGTAATATAATTTATTTCAATAATAATATAATATCATATTCTTAGTATCCCTATTTTTTAAAATATTAAATAAATATCAAATTAGAGCTCTATAATTCTCAAATTTTCTCAAGATTACTTGAAGAGGCACTAATTGGATTTTGAAAATATCAAAATTGAGTCTAGAAAGTCAGTAAAGAATTCCAAGGATCCCAAAAATATCCAAAAAGACTTGTATATGAACCCAAAATTATGCTTAAATTAGATGAGCTAGGCTAACATGCTGGTCGACATTATGTGCTAGGCATGGGTCACACATTCCTCGAGTGCACAAGAAGTAAAGGTTTTGATTTTTATTTTAAGAATGAAAAGGCTCCTAGGCACATAAAGTAGAGGTTTTTATTTTTATTTAAAGAACAAAAAGGTTTATCAATAAAGCATAAAATTATTTTTAAAATACAGTAATTGTATTAAATTGTCAAAAAATTGTCAACATATTTATAACTTCACTTCTCCCTTTCAAATCTCTATATCCCCATGGCTTATTTTTCGGGGTTGCGGGTTTCCTTTTTATAGGCTCTTCTCTTAAAAGAGATTAACTTTGTCTTACATAGATGAAGCGTAGCTCCCTTTCATAGGCTCCAATACATTTGATCTAGTCGGAGTACCAAATTGTCCTTTATAAGAAAAGTTATGACGCCCAAATTTGCAGACTCTAGTCTTCCTTTGATAGGAGGTTAACTGTCCTCGTTTAGATGGATTGAACTAGAGGTACCTAGAGTTCTAAATTCCTATAGCAGAGCTTTATTTTTCTTCTAAAACAAAGTTGATATTCTCTATTTAGATAAATTATATCTCAAGTGAGAGAATTTTCTACCCCATTGTATGGTTACAACTTTCTACACAAATGAAGTTAAATAGGAAGGTAGTCCACCAAAAAAAGATCAAAAATTTGTTCGGTATACTGATTTTTTTATTTAGAGCAATTTTCTTATTTCTTTATATACTTCCTCTAAAAACTTGGTCTAATTTCTTTATTAGATGATCATATTTATGCGGATAATTTTCTAAAAAAAAATATGAATTTTTGACATTTTATTTTTTGAAAATTTTAAAATTTTAATGTCCTTATGCTCAATGTGCGATTTTTTATTTTTGTTGAATTTCTATAATCATACCAATCATAGTTTTTTCAACTTATTTTATAAATTTACATAGCATAGTTGGACACCCTCACAAATTTATTTATAGTAAAACTACTATCTTTTAATAAAATATTAAATAAATCAAATGTAACCTATGCAAAGTCCATTTTCTTAATTATTTCAAATGCCTAGACTTTATTGCACTTTAATCTTTCTAAAATGAGTTAAAAATTTTATTAATTCCACTATGATATTTAGAGGCTTAATATTTAGAATTTTTTAAGAAGTTATTTTTCTCAATAAATTGTAGAAAATTTATTAAGGCATTGGATGAGTTTTAGTATGGAATTGATCTCATGACCCCTAATCAATACCCATTTTAATGTCATTAAAATTATTCAAGGTGAGTTATAGCTTAGGCATTATTTTAATAAGCTTCAAGAGGGAAGAGGCTACCCATGAAAATCTAACTAGAGTTTGATAATTCCAAGGTTGTAGAATACTAATGTAGATTCATTAGTTTTGCATGTGATTTTGAAATAAGACTTTTTATTTATTCATCTCTTGAGTTGAATGTATGTTTCTTCATATAAAAATTATAGAAGTTTGAATGTTTTTTTTTATAATTAAGCTATTGAAAGTAATGGAAATTGGTGATCTCTCAATTTTTGTATAACAATGATTCAGATTTTTTTTTTTTTAAATTTATCACCAAATGAGATTAGGCTATTTATATATATTTGAGATGTACTTAAAATCTTTATATCTTGCTAGAAATCTAATATATTATAATTAAATATTTGAGTTAGCAAAAAATATTGCTCCCCATTTGGAGCATAGTTACCTCAATTTCTTCGTTGATTGAGGGATTAATTGTCATCCATTAAAGAAAAGTTTAAGGAATACTTAAAATATTCTCATAATTGAGGCAAACTTATTATTTGCTAAAAGATTCTCAATAATAGAGAAAGAGATTTTAATGTCTTAGTTTTATATAAAGATCCAACATATATGGAATAAAGAATGATACATGAAACACCAAATTTTTTTCTGCATAAATTTGTCAAAAAGATAAAAAACCATGGGCCTTGACCTTGCTAAAATGATTTCAATTTTATATATCAAAGGATGCCTTTCTTTGTAATTGGGGCAGGCATTACCATGATGTAATAGACATATATTACGGATGATAGGTTCCACGGTGTTAATTTTTAGTATATTTAGCTATTATCTTTTTAAGTAGAGGATATCATAGACCAAAAAATTTTAGTATAAATTTTGGTGTTGACATCAGAAGTTAGAATTAGTGTTGATGATGTGCATTATCCTTACTGGTGTTGGTATGTATAAATGTTATTAATAACTAAGTACATTAATTTTATAAGAAATAGCGTGTTGATGTTGTGTTGACGACATGCATCCATCTAATAGATGATCGAGTTCATTGACATTATTGTTGATATAGGCTATTAAGTTAGCGTGCATAGGCATTTTTGTCCATAATGCGTATTGGCCTTGAAAGACATGGCAAGCTTTTATATTTTTTTTGTAATAGTGAGTGACAAAGTATGGAGTGGAGGATGCTACTCAGTATGAGTTCATCCTCAATAATTAGAAGCAAACTAATTAGGCGACTTAAACTTGGGCTTATGACTTTGGTAGTTATTATGTGGACTAAAGTTAGTACCAATCCACCTTATGAAAATCAATAAGTAGAACTAATGAACCTTCAATGATAAACAAATTAATTTATTATACATGAAGCTATCCTCAATCCACCTTATAAAGGCTGAGAGATTCCATCATCAATGGAAGCTAGTAACATAAGTGGAGGTTGAAGAGATCATGTGATCATCTTGAGGGAGCTACAACCATAAGGCAGTTGGGAGGAGCAACCAGCAATGATCAAGGTGAAGATGATGAGGCTGAATAGAAATTTATTTCTATTTTTTTAAGTTATATATTAAGGCTTCGTTTGGGATGGCTTTTTTACTGCTTCTTAAAAGCAACTTTTTAATAAAAAAATTAATTTTTTGTTCTAGAAAGCTGCTTTAAGAAGCGGCAAGAAAGCCGTCCCAAACAAAGCCTAAATGATGATGAGATTAAGGCTTCATTTGGGATGGCTTTTTTATTGCTTTCTAAAATGGAGTTTTAGTACAAATTTTTTTATTTTTGTACTAAAACTCCGTTTTAGAAAGCAATAAAAAAGCCGTAGGCTTCGTTTGGGACAGCTTTCTTGCCGCTTCTTAAAGCAGCTTTCTAGAATAAAATTTTCTAATTCAAAATATTTTTGTATTAAAAATTTATTTTAGAAAACAATAAAAAAACTGTCTCAAACTAAAACTAAAATTTCATTTAGAATAACTTTTTTATTGCTTCTTAAAGTAACTTTTTAATATAAAATTAAATTTTTTTGTAAATTATTTGACTCTCTATGTTATTGATTTATAAGTTCATAATGTTTAGATTTTCTTAGAGAATCGATGCCTTACTATTCAACCTAAATTCAGTTTGGAGATTCGATTGAGCCATCTCTATAAGTGCCAGCCCAAAGCATTTCCTTTATTAGGGATTCAATAATCTTGCTATCAACCATCAATAATAAGATAACTAACTTTAAAGAAGTATGAAATATTTTAGTGCTATTCGTTATATTATATTAACTAAAAATTTTGATTTTTTGCCAATCTATAGAAAATTTAAATTGAATAATATTGAAAGCACATTTATGAAATTTTTGTTAGGATCAAATATTTATATTGAAGCAAACTAAGTGTCCGTTGGAGATGATTGTTACTTTTTATTTAGTTAGTTGTGAAGTTGCTATGAAGAAAATAACTTCTCTATTATAATTATAAAAAATATACCTTTTTTCAAAGAAAATTTTGGAATAATAAAAAAACAACAAAAAAAAGTAATAATAAAATAAAATTATGATTAATATATGAAAAAATCAAACAGCCAAAGAACCATCCCAAGCATACCCTAAGATTTCGTTTGAGACATTTTTCTCCTTGCTTTCAATACAAAAATTTCTAGTTTAAAAAACTTTTGTACAAAAATTTGCTTCGAAAAGTAGGAAAAAACTGCCCCAAAAAGAAGCCGGAAGAATTAGACATGCAAACCATTAACCTGCACAAGAATTGAACTTTTTCTCTACAATACAAGAAATTATTATGCACGGTTACCGGACCGTCTGGATGCGGATTAGAATGTGCGACGTCACCCGGTACACAACACTGATAAACAGTAAAAAAAAAGTGGCGTGACGTATCCTAATTCGCCTCCGAATAGCATCCGGTGACTGCACAAAATAATTTCTCCTGCAATACAGGCCAGAATTATAAACAACATTCTTGAAACATTATTTTGAAAATAAATCCCTAGACTTTCATGATTTGTCACTACATGATAAGAATAAAGTGTGAGTACATACAGCAGGTGGGATACTAATAAGTAATAACAACTGTGAATGACAGTTTCTTAAATACACATCATGCAGAGATAAATTTAAGAAAAACTGAACAATAATTAAAGAATAAGCTTATGGTAATGAACAAAACTTAAAAATAACAAAAAATAAATGCAATTTTAAGATTCATCTGAACCAGCTTTATCCTGCAGTATTTTTTTTTTTTTTCCAAGCTCCAGATCCCTTATGGGCACAGAAAAAGAATGTTTCAACTAAAGAAATTTGCACTTCGCATGTGTCAATCACCTCTCAGGTTCTCTGCCTTTCCTTTTTTTTTTTTTTCTGATGAAGGAAATAAGAGCTAAACAAATATTAAAAAAAAAAATCATACAAGAGAAAAATGCAAGGCTTCATCAGGAAAGAAGTGACCGAGAGCCTCAAACAAAAAGGGTAATTTTTTAGCATTTTCCATGACGAGCTTGTTTCATTTTGGACAAAAACTGCTACTGCTTTAGCATTTTAGCTGGAGGAAACCCCAAAATAATATAACAAGGTGGGGTTAAGTGCAAAATTGATCTTCATGTTTATGGCTCATCTTTGGGGTTATCGCCAGCCTGCATATGACAAAGGTAAGAGGTAACATGAGCACAAAAATAAGCATTTTGAAGTCATTTTCTTCAAAAACTCAATTACAGAATTTTTTTGCAAGCTAAAGATCTTGATCGTTATGTTATCATTTGTTTTCATAAAGCAAAAAAATTTAACCAAAAATGACAAATTCAAAGATTATCAACATAATATCCAACTCAAAAACCCTTTTTTTTGCCCCACAAAAATGTAAGCCGCTTTCAACATAAGGTGCATGTGGTAATGCATGCACAGTTATTGCTATTGAAAACAAACAGACTATATATTTTTACTTAACAAACATACCTATATAATGGTGTTGAAGAGGCGACGATGGAGGCAATGATGGTGCTAAAGGCAACAACCACGTGCGGGATGCTAAAGTAGGAGGAACTCACAATATGATCTTGCGGAGGACACAATTCTGTGTATGGTAACACGAGAACCGGTGATGAAAATACAAGATTTGTTGATAGAAATGAGAGATTCATTAGATTGTGAACGACGAAGATGTTCGCCAAAAAGAGGGAATCCTTGCAACTTGTAGCATGGATGAAGGAGATGGTCGATGATTGTTCAATAATGAACGACCAAGATATGAGGAAGGAGGGATTGAAGAAACTGTGTGAGATGTGGTGGTGACTTCCTGAAAAGCAATAGAGGAGAGTGGTAAGATATTGATGTGATATTCCAGAGACACGGCAAGGGGCAACAGCTTCTAGGCTTGCAAGAAGGTGGAAACTAGGCGAGGCGCTATTATGATGGAAATAGGAGAGATAGGAGAGATTGAAGAAGCTGGTACAACAAGCAAATGGTAGGTGTTATCGCCACAGTATATTACTCAAAACCCATATTTCTGCCAAGAAAATAGTAAGCCACTATCAACAGAAGCTGCATGAGGAAACGCATACATGGTTTTTTCTATTGAAAACATAAAAAGAATACATCTTGGTTTAATTGATTTTGATGCAAGCACAAAGAAGAAAACATAATAATAAAGAAAAATACAATAAAAGGTAATATGATCAATAATGAGATATAATATAAAAATAACTCCCACATATGTCAAATATAGTTATTTAACGCATGATAAATGTGGTAACAATTTCAAGCATGCTAATCTCACGATAGGTGTTAAAATAAGTGCACAGCAACCTAGTTTACAACCAAAAAACTAAACAGGAACTCACCATTCCTGAACAGCGATGCAAATACAAGTTCATTCCAAGCATCCGGCACTCCAGGAAGGCACCAATGGCTGCAATCAAGAATGGATGAAGGATGACTCCATGGGCCTATATGGGCGTCACTTCGATATGCTCCCATCATAGTAACATTGAGGACAGTCACTGGAACAGTTATTTTTGCTATCACGTCAGCTATGATGTCTGTGAATTCGCTCCTGATATTCCCTTTAGCCTCTAATGTAGGTTGGTTTGTCACTTCACAAGTTTTTTGGCCTGAACCACTGCAAAATCCAGAGTAAGTGCATGGTCAACCGTACACCCAGGCTATTTGCACATTAGGGATAAGAAAAAAGTAAAGAACTTTCCGAATTATCTTGCAGGTACGATAACAACCCAATATAAGCCAAGTCAAATGAACTAAAGCAAGCAGAGGAAACATAAGTGCCGAAAAATAGCCCAAACTTTTATAAAATACAAGTAGAATCCGCCATTTATCGTGATCTAAGCAAAAGGGTCACAACATAATAGCGCAACAGCAACATTACCCTTGGAAATAGAATCCCTTTTAACTCACTCATAGCCAAAACTAACTGTAAAGCATCTTTAAGTTTAACTAAATGACAATACACTTCATCATTCATTTTAACTAGCACTAAACACTTAACTTTAAATGTCTTTAAAATGAATGAAACGTTTTTCTACTTATGATGGGATTTAGACAGCCTTTAATGAATCTAATCATCTTATCACGCTGGCTACTCCTTGAGGAGCTCAAATCTACCGTTGTCAAAAATGCAAATATTTAAGATGAGTCATTCTACTGTGCTAAGCCATCTTCCAATAAGATTTCTACGTAATTGAGTCAGCCTTTCTACAACTCTGGCACACCAGTGATGAGTAGCCAAGGGAAATATGCTATTTAACCTTTTCTGAGCAAGATTCACAACAATGGCGTTTTTTTTGTGATCAAACCCTCGGTAACATCTTGGCATTACCTTCGTACATTGCTCTGCATTTGCTTAAGTTTTAATAGAATTCTTGTTAGACAGTAGATTTGCCTGATCACGTTTAGTTAGCCCTCTTTTTATTTTCCCAGAATTTTTTCGTTCTTATTCACATTTAAGGCACTTCTGATGTTAATTAGTTATTTCTAAGTTTGCATCAGCGTTGCATCCTAGGCACAAATACATCATACACCATACTCTAACTCGGCCATATAACAAATGATTACATCCCATTAGTCCAAGCTTTCGAGATTCCCTACTTTAGAAATAACTACAGACTCAACTACAAAATGCATGAACAGGCCTTTAACGTTGTTAACGCATACAGTTCCTTCAGCATTTTCACCTTCCAATTCATCAAGTAGCCCTCAAGCCCAAACCTTCCCTCCCTCCCTCAGCACGTAGGAATAACATACAGCAACTGCAAAAGTTGCAGCAACTATTCATATATGATAGGAAGGACAGTCTTCTCTTGTACTCCATTTCAGACTCAGATTGAGAAACGTATATTCTCTTTACCCAGTCTAGTATTTTAATCTACAACCATTACCTGAGCTACACTTTTTCCCACTCTCTGTCTCCAGGTCGTCGTTAGCTACATGCATATAATATTCCTAACATTATATCACAATTCCAAATCCAAAGGATTGACATGAAAACTTTTTGGTTTCCTACTTGAAATTGAATAAGAAGGGCAACGTGAATTTTGAGCGACCACAAACTAGTGACAGCAAAATCTTTCCCATGTAGGAATGTGGGAGATGTAATGCTGACTTTGCAACGACTAGCCACAAGTGTATCTCCTTCCCTCCTTTACTCCCCATCTTTTTTTCATTTCACTGATCCATTTTTAATCCCATGTTTCAAGTGAATTTAAAATACAAAAACATGTGGTTCTGGACATGGCATGCCACCATAGGCTTCACTTGGTTATCCACAGCTTTCAAAAACTTTTTCCAGAAGCAATTTGATGCAGAGTGACATAGTGGAAGATTTGCGGAACCTTGAATAGCTAAAGAGGAGCAAAGAAGATGAGAGAAGCAGCAGCCTAAGTATGAAGTCTACAAGGAAGATAAAGCTAGCAATTATCCTAAGAAGATGAATAAGCAATGCAAAGCATTATTTATAATTCAATAATCATAATCTCATAGTCGAGCAATAACATGACAATTAGACCTCTATTTATAATAAAAAAATCCTATAAAATAAAGACTAAATAATCAAGAATTCTTGGCATGTGATAAAAATAAATACAAAAAATGAACAAAATAGAAATATAATGACAAATCAAATAAACTCATGCTTCCCCAACAACACTACTAAGGTGCAAAGAACCCCACTCCAAAGAGTTCACTGTTACCAGACAAAAACCTAAAAAGTCTTCTATTATAGTGCCATATTACTGAAATTCATCCTATTGAGAGCACATTTCGAAGAAGAGAGACAAAAAGAATACCTCTCAAATATGAAAGTATATATATGCATATATATGTATATACCCCCCCCCACACACATAGATATATATATATATATATATAATATATATATACGTATATATACTATATATATATAATAGGTAATATTATTTAACTTATAATCTATAGTTGTGTGGTTTTGGGTTTTTTGTTGGTGGGAGGGGGGGGGTATATACATATATATGCATGTATAATATTGTAGAGCAAAGAGGCGCCTGACTAGGAGAGGAAATAATTTTGTAATTTTGAATAGTTATCTTAGGATTTTCAAAAAAATATAGGAATAGCATAAGGATTTAAATTAATTTGAATTTAAATTCAAGGCTAATTTAAAATAATCCTTTATTCATGAAGAATTTCGTGAAAGTTATTAGAGAGAGTCTGAAGGACGATGAAAGAAAAAGGTTGATATTGGGCAATGATGAAAATTTATAAAAAGTAGAGGGTAAGTCTAAAAAATGCATTCTTGAAGGTTTACTGCAAAAGTTCTACTTTGTTTTGATGGTTTATTTAGGTTAATTATGAACATTGAAGAGTTTTAAGATGAGAACAATCTATTTGGTACCTGGCAGTTTAAAAAGAAACAAAACAAAATAGAAGCACATACGAGTGAAAACTTCATGGATGCCTTCAAGCTAATCTTTAGCAATGCATTGATCATCATTATTAAATTATCAACTATGATTCCCTAAATGAAATCGGGCTATCAGACCATTCAACTTTTGAAGATTGATGAATGCCTTTAATAGTTGAGGCAGAGTGAAGAAGAGAGAAGAAAGAAACTTGAAATCTATTTGCTCAAGAAAGACGACGCTACGGCACAGACCCTGCTTTCTCAAGCCTAAGGACCTATTTTTCCCTAGGTAGATTTGATTTTAATTAACTAGATTTCCCCCGATGATCGACATCAGGGTTTATTTAGTTCTGAGGTTCCACTTCCTATGAGCACAAGGCCTCATAGTTAATTACCACTCCTAACGCGTAGAAGACAACTATCGATTAAAGATGAATCGATTTGTTTAGATGTGCAACCGTTTTAAATTTTGGTTGTGGAGGATGGATGTAAACACGATCAAGATCTCATGCTTCCGTCATTCTAGGTATATCATATATTTCAATCTACCAACACTAATTTAAAATTAAATTTAAGTTTAAATTAAAATCAACCTCAGCTCATTTTAATAGAATTTAAAAATATATTTTAAAATTACTTGATTTAATTTAATTACATTATTAGTTAAATTTGGTTGTTTAATCAATTTAATTAATTTAATAAATTTCAATTTAAGGTTTTAATTAAGTGGTTTATTAATTAAAAGATTTTGATTTAAAAAAAATTATTTTAATTAAAGTTAAAGTTTAATTAAACTTTTTAATTAAAGTTCTGATTTTAATTAATTGTTTAAATTAGATTTTAAATTAATCAATTATTTCATTAATTGAATTTTATTTTAAAAATTGAATTTTGCTTATATGAATTTTAAATTTTATTTTTAGGTTAATCAATTATTTAATTATATTGATTTTAAATTAATTATTCAATTTATTAGAAGGTTTAAATTTTTTTTTATTTTTTAATTAATTAAATTAATTAGGTTTATTAATTAATCAATTATATTTTAAATTTATTAAATTGGTTATTAATCGTTAGATTTTAATTTGATTAAGATTTTTTAAATTAATGATGTGGCTTTTAATTATTTTATTATTTAAATTGATTAGTTGATAAAAATTCTCAAAAATTTAGAAATTTTTGACAACCTCTTGAGATAATTTTGGCAGTTTGACAAGACGATTTCGGCAGTCTCCCGACGTCCCCTCCCCGCGAAGGGAGGTTGGGAGGGCACTGGCCCTTTACAGTCTGCCTAACCGGATAGGATTCAACGACCGAGGGATTCGGGGGAGCGAATCAACCTCAATATTGATATTCGAGCACCTGTTTGCAATTTGGTGTTTTCCCGGATATTTCAGCAACATTTTGTTCCCCCTCACCGCGAGAGGAGATTGGGGAAACTTGCCCTTTAGGTTTACTTGGCCGGATCAAATCAACCGTCGAGGGCTTCGGGGGACATATCAACCACGGTATTGGTCTTCGACTCCTCAATTTGAAAATTGCAGCATTTTTTTTCTTTTTAAAAAATCATTAATAATATTAGTAATTATTATTATTATTATCCATATACACATGTGCATAGTTTCTTCATTTGCCCTCACAACTCACAAAAGCAGAGGATCGGATCTAACGGCTAGTTTACATCTCAAAAGCAGGAACCGAACAAAGGTTCATTAACAGAGACGGAACCTTTTCTTTCGTGTGAGGAGGAACACACGAAGGACAAGCTGGTGGTGGAATTGCTTGGGTCAGCCGAGATTCGTGTGTGGAGCGTAAGGATTATGTTATGTTCAGGCAATTATGCATGATTTTATAGTTATTTGATTCTTTATTAAGACATCTTGTATGGATCTATAAATAAGGATATTTTTTTATAATAAAATTAAGTTTTTGCCTCTAAATCTCTAAATTTAACATGGTATAAGAGCCAGATTCTCACCACCAGCCTTCATTGCCAAAATTCTGAGGAATACTGGTCCTTCCGCCAGCCTTCATTGCCAAAATCGTTGGGATATAAGAATCAAAGGAAGCAGAGAGGAGCAAGCGACCTTCATTGTCATTAGAGATCGAACGAGAGTCGAATGGGCCAAACCGCTAGCTCGTGCCCTCTGTTTCGTGCTCATGTCTAGAAGAAGCACAGACGGGAGTCTCTCGTGCGTCCAATACTGTGGAAGATCAAGCGGGAGGTCTTCGTTCTTTCATGTGACCTCTAGAGTCGATCGAGCAAAAGAGAGAGATGTCGAGTGCAGGACCTCCTCCTGCGTGCAGCTGGATAGCGAACAAGACCTCCTCCAGGGAAGGCGGCATCGAGCTTAGTCTTCGTCCCTTTGTGCGATCGAGAGAGGAGTAGCTTTCCTCATGGTCATCTACTTCGTGCGCTATTCCTGGAAGTCGAACAGAGAGGAGCAACCAGGAACCTTCATATGTGCAAAGGAGGCCGAACCTCTGTGCGTGCGTTCTTACCTACGCGGAAGCAGAACCAAGTGTCAGGAGGAGTCGTGCAAGAGTTTTTTTCTGTGTGTGTGCCTGAGAAGAGCCGAATGCTTAGATCGGTGGTCTTGTGCACACCTACAAGGGATCGAGAGCTTGGAGCCCTTATTGTCGTACATGTGACCTCTCTCGTGCACATATGTGCAAATGTTGCCTGATGATTTAATGCTTGAGGATGGGGTCAAAGACATCGGGAATAAGCTGGCGTCTCCTCCATCCGATTTATAACAACTTCTTCTACTTCTTGATAAAGCTAAAAAATTTATTGTCAAGAATGGAGCAATCTCCATCTGCTTCAATTTTAATTGCTACTCATCCTGCTATAAAGGCATTGATTGCTAAGGATCTTCTGGGGTACTACTGGAAAAGATTTTTGCACTTCTTCAAACTCATGATCTGAAATGAACGAGTCACACATACACCCTAGTACATGTTTCTCGATGCTGAGGACATCCTCGACGAGCGGGAGATTTCGTGACATTTCTTATTAGCTATCTTGTGTTTCTAATAAGTTGTTTAATGTTTGGCATGACATGTCTATAGAATCTTATTCTAGATAGAAGAGTGAGGATTGGCGTAGATCGATCTTAACCTGATGGTTGATGATTATGAATGATTTATATTCACACGAAAATTTTAAATTTTGAAACATACATGGATGTGAAGGTTTCTATTGCATATTGTCTTTGTGAAATAACAAGAATAACAACATATGCTCCATATGATGGTATAATGAAGGAGATATTTGGGTTGATTATTGGAGCTTTCATGAAATGTCAAGCCATTCATTTTCGAAGAGAGTTTCAATACTTGAAACTATTGCAAAGGTATGATCCTGGTTTTGATGTTAGATCTTGATTGTGATGATTTGATATTGGAAATATTTCAGCATTTCTTGAAGACGATAAGGTCAAAGATGATACTATCTTCTCCTTGATGGAGACTATCATGACACTTGTTTTGCAAGAAACTGAAAATACTTCTGCACAGCTTCTTTCATGTCTATTGGATGTTATGAAAGTTGTTGAAAAGAATATCTTGCACACAACCAATAAGCTAGCTAAGAAAGTGCTTGTTAAATGTTCCTTGAATCTAAAGCCTTATTTGGCTCTATTATTTTTTATGGAAATGGTGCTCTGCTAAGTGATTACAACAAAATTGTTGTTGTTGTATTTTAGTGGAAACTTGACAATTCGATACAGAACAAAAAAAATGCTTGTGCTGAAAATCAGGAAGCTGATCATAAATTATCTGAGCGGTTCCTTTCTGACAACTCGCCTCAGGGATTTATACAACAAAAACATGAAATTTTTCATCTTGAAAAATTTGTTGATGTTGTAGACAGATCTTCCAAACCCATGGCGAATAATAGATCTTTTCAGAATGGGGATGGTGATTCCATGGCTGCAAAGCAAAAAGCTGAATTTTGCCATCATAGTAATAAATCTAGAGTTAATATTGAACATAGCTTGGATTTAAGTACAGCAAAGCTTGATAGAAGGTCAGCTCTAAGTTCTCGCAAAGGAGAAAGAAATGCTTCATTGTAGTTATCAATTAGTAATGATCATTTAGGAATTGGTAATAAGAAAAGAGCTCAGAGTAATTCTGACAAAAAGCTTACAAGTAATGGAGGTAGAAATGGACCTCAAAGAAAGGTTAGAGTGAGATTCTCGGAAAACAAGCAAACTGCTGTCACTAAGAAGCTGAAAGGAGTTATGCATGTTGAGGCTGAAGACAAAGAATTGAAATTAAAGGAAGTTCTCTCCACTCAAAAGACTATAGTGAAATATTAGATTAAAAATCATAACCATGTTAAAGATACCGGTAAAACAAAAATCAAGATGGAAGCGTGCTTAGAGCATAAAAGAGGTTTTTGGACCATGGAAGCCTAGAAAAGGCTTGCATGACACAGTTACTGTTGATGAGAAAATAATAGTCGTAATTCAGAGTTTCAGACAAAGGGGCCATATTAGGCAGGAATGTGCATTAATATAGGAATGAAATGGGCTAATAGACCAAACAATCACCAAACATGGCCGAACTTCATTTTCAATTTTTGTGCAAGCATGCCCATCATGTAAATGCATTAATTAATGAAAGTACTTCAACATATCAGGCATGTTCTCTCAATTCTCAGAATAGACTTCATTTGTATGCATTTACTTCAATATATCAGGCATCTTTATCAGTTTAAGGAACTGATTTTATTTGTACATGACAGGCATACCTCCAATGAGAAGGCTCAAATGTCCTGAAGAAGACATGCGTCCTGTTCGTGTTGATCGTAGATTCAACCCATGATGCCCACGTCTCCAATGCCACCCTGAAAGCAGAATTTATGGACATTCCAAGCTTCAGTGAGCCTCCAACCTGGAAATAGCAGCCCCTATTGTGAAACACGTAATAGATAAGAATATTGATAAGCGATCAAGAGAATACCTAGAAAGATATAACTGCGTTAAAAAAAATATCACATGTGCAAATTAATTGCATGAAGTAAATAGGCTTTCGTTTAGAACATCTGGTAATAGAAAAACCTGAGGATATACTCTCTCTTTTTTTTTTAATGCACAAGAATAGAATACAGAAGTTCAAGCTTAAGAAATTGCTAATCATACTACAACAGAATCAGATATAACAAAAAATATACCAGCAGGCCCATTTTTTAGGTTGTGAAACAACAGCATCCTTGGTGTTGTTCATGCAATGTGGATTAAATGCATATCCAATGTGCACACTTATGTTCATGCAGCATAAGAATACACAAGCATAATAAATGCATGCAATAGATATCCATTTTATGCTGCATGTAAGTGAATAATAGAATCCCCTGCTACTAACAATCATTGGAAGCAGAGATCAAGCATTGAGAGGATGAGAGATCAAGGATTTAGAGGATGGTTACTGATGAACTCCGACTTCAAACTTGAATGATTAAGGGCTTGCATGTTTCAAGGATCAATGCAATGTGTCTGGTTTGATTGTTGAAACGCTTTAGAATGACTATGATAGAACTACTTGTCTTATAAGTAAGGAGGAATGAAAGTTTGCAGTAAATGAAAACATGCTAGGAGTGGACCTTGGCTATTATAAAATAATAGATGGTAGCCTAGACATGAAGGAAATGGGTTGTTGTAGACTGGAAACACACCATCATGAAACATGGAAAAGACATGCAAACAATGGAAGAAAAAAAATTGCATTATTTATTCATAACTAAAATAAAATAAAATTATGATTTATAACTCATCAAAATTCTCATAGGAGAGATTCATCTAGTCCTGCCTTTTAAGCAAAATCCAAAAACACTTTATATCATTCAATCCGAGCTTATTTATATTACAACGATACTTCATATTGATAAACATTACATAGCCAATATAGGAATAAAATAATTCAATGAATTTCTTCAATATTCTTTTTAAATTTGAAATTTGAAATTATCCTTATTAATCATTGATATAGCTCCTATAATTTAAGCATTTGCTTGAAGAGAAATAGTGTTGTTTAGTTTGAAATTTGTAATTGCCTTCAATAATGCTTCATTAATTCTCCTTAATTTAAGCATTGCTTCAAGGAGAATACTGTTTAATTGGAATTTAAAATTGCCTCCAATTATGCTTTATTATTATAAAGCCACCTTAATGTAAACTATGCATCAATGGATTAAATGGCCTCCAATAATGTTTTATTGGTATGACTCCTATATAATTTATACCTTGCTTTAAGGAGGGAGTGTCCCGAGTGTTGCCCGAATTTGACATGGCTCATTTTGAATTTGAATTTAAGGAGGCACCATAATTTAAGGAGTGTAGAGAAAGGGCCAAAATTTTCATAAGTTGAGATGAAGGGGTTGAACATGCATAGAATTTCTCCATAAGTGTTTAATAAACTTTGGTGTCACATGATGAACAAAATAAAATCATTCTTTGAATGCAATCCAAACCTTTGTGAGGGAACAAATAAATATTTCTTATTGCTTGATAAAGCTTACAGAAGCAAGCCCAAAAATTAAATTTTCTTTTTTATAGATATGATGTATTGAAACTTGTATCCTTGTTCTATATCAACTCATCCCTTCCTCAAGAACTCTTCTCAAGGAGAATAAACTATTTAATGGTGAATTGATCTAGTGCATAGGTCATTAAATGCGTTGGTGATAATCAAAAGAAAATAGGGATGGAAAATGCATCTAAGAAAACTTAAAACTGAGATGAATACTTCTTAATCAAGAGAAAGAAAATATTTTAAAATAATTAATTTAAAAAAAATGGTTTGTTCAATTCCACCAAAATGAACATTAACATCCAAGAGGCTTGTGAGAGGGGAGTAGTTAAGAGTTTTAGAGTTTGAATTGGACAAAGGGTGAGGTCCTTAGAGTGATAGGGTTATTTAAAGTGAGTTAGGACCTCTGTTTAAAATTGCGCAATAAGAGGCGCGCCTCTGCGCAATTTGGACCCAATACGCCTTGAGGCTTGCGCAATTTTGCCTTTAGCAGAGGCGTACGCCTCAAGTGCGCAATTGCGCAATTTTGCTTGAGACAGATTTGTCATTATCAGACTTACAGCTAGAGGATCTAAGTGTGGATGTCTTGAGGGGCAAAGAAGATCAAGTGAGCACATCCACTAGTACCACACCACACACATCCACTAGCTCTGCAACACAATAACCAAATAAAAGTATGCCACAACTGCTTATATGCTTTTGCATTATATTTATATCAAGTGAGCAATTAACATGATAATGATCATTCTTATTGAACATGGAAGAGAAAAGTGAGTCACATTGAAGATGATGAAGATATGACATTCATAGATACAATTGGAGAAGAAGATTCCCTTGAAGACCGATTTAGTGATGGGATATGATTGGATTTTATATATTCCTTCTGAATTGTACTTTGGGAAATCTGATAGACTATAATTTTGTGGTTTTCTACTTTGGAATATGATTTTATTGCATCTATTTTCTTAATTGCCACTAATTCCACTTGTTATTTAGATGTTTTATTATATGATAGAATCTTGTTATTATTTACCTGCTAAAATTCTTAAATTCTCATTTACGCAATTTTGCGTCCGTGAGGCTTACGCCTCACACCTCCTCGAGGCTTACGCCTCACCTCACGGACAGAAAACGCCTCGAGGCTTATTTACGCAATTTTAAACCTTGGTTAGGACATCAAAGAGGCTATGAATAGTGTTGCTAGGGCTCCCGATGGAGAGAGAAGAGAGGAAGGTATAGAGCAGAATTATGATTTTTAAAATAAAGAATAGTAAGAACTTCTCACCAAAGAAATTCCACAAATGGAAGCCACCAACAAAGATAAAACCTTCAAATATCATTCAAAAACAACTTCCTTTAGGTTATATGATGTTTATTTATAGCATTACAATGAAGCAAAGAAAATTCAAATTAACGTAAACTAGAACAAAATGGTTGGCCAAGCATATTTGGAAAGTAAGAGACACTCTTTAATTATTTTTTCATATTGCTTTCTAAAGGTAAGAACTGACCGTACAAATTAAGAAACAAAAAAATATTCTCTTGATTTATAAATACCTCTTACCTTTGTCCATAGCTTGGGCAGGTCCATCTAGAAATAAAAATTGTGAGTTAATTAATAATGATATTCCTGCTTGACGATAAGCTCTTGTTTGTGATCTTGTGACTAGTCTATACATATTCTGAAATTGTTTTACATCACAAAGTCACCAAGATCATGGCTATCCCTTTTGAAAGTAATTTGCTTGAGCAAAAATTGAAAATATGAGAGCTAAACTACCTTTGGTGTGTCACCTAGGCTAGCTTTTCTTTGTAGAGGCGCTTCTTCTCTAGGTCTTTCCCCGGTTGATATGACTGTTTCTTTAGCTCTTAGCTTTAGTTGGTAACAAGGTTACTTCCACCATTTTTGATGGTTTTCCCTAACATCCTTCCTCTACACAAGCTTTTGCCTTAAAATCCCTAGGATGATGAGTGTTGTTGTAGTCAAGCGAATATTAAAAGCCAAGTAGCATTTGTAAATGATAACCGCTTTTAGTGCTTAATGTACTACCTATATATTCTTAAATAGTCGAATAGGCCACCACATTAGAATTTTTTTTTTTTTTTGCTCTTTATAAGGGCATATATTTATTCTCTCCAAGATTATACACCATCCCCATGATTAGGGATAGCATAATATTATATGATTGACATCAACAAATCTAACATAATAGGTTACAACATCAATAAATTGTCAATGATAAAGCTCATATAATTATATCGAAACATTTCATTCATATATCATTCAAGAACTTTTTATAATATATGTAATGAATTATCATACTAACTATTACTATTTTTAATATGATCATTCACTAAAAGAGAACCTATAAATCACATATGAATTTCTTATCAACATTAAATTTAATAAGTAATAGTTGATTTAATGAAATTGGTTTAATGAAAGAAACATTATTACCATCAAATAGAAACATTAGTGCTCACCACAAATTTAGATAATTTGATACCTCACTCTTACTCCTTGCTCCAAATGATAGTTTGACGCATACATAAAAGACCTTCATATCATCAAAATAGCTCACAAATTCTCTTATTCAGTATTTAAATTCTCTTTAAAATATAATATTTTAATTAATTTTATAATTAAATCTCATATATTATTGAATTTAAAAAATTATACTCTCTCTCTTTCTCTTTATGTGTCTGTGTGTATATAACTAAATTAATGCAATATTCATAATCTAATTATTATTTCATAAAATAAATAATATTTTAACTTTACCATGACAAAATCAACTTTCATTCTGTAACATATATATACCTATTCTCTACTCCTATAAATCTAATTAATAAAATTAATTTACTAATTAGAAGATCTCATATTAATTTATTGAATTCATATAATGAAATTTGTGCTTTTATATATATATAGACACACACATATACATACATACATATAAACACATAAATATATACACTATAAATTATTTTTAATAATTAACTTTGAAATTAATTATCATCAATTATTTTGCTCGAAAGTTTCCTCTCTCTTGTTCCCGTTCTCTTTCACCCTCTCGGTCTCTCACCATCTCCCTCTACCTCTTTTGATTTATAAAGGATCAAATCATTTCCTTCAACTCCCGATCCGCAACTTCTCATGATCGAACCCTTCGTCTCCATCGCACGATTATGAAAACCACCAGCCCTTCACCTCCTCAACACCAAGCGACCAAACCAACGTCTTCATCTTCTCACAACACCAACCAATGGACAAACTCCGTTGAACCCCTTAGTCTTCTTCATCTTACGAAACCGACAATCTTCAATTCGATCGCTACATGATTTTATTATTATAAAAATAGCCCAATACAAGAAGACCTA